AGCAAGTAGTTCACTTTTGAAAGTGGTGTCTCTACTTTAGGGAGAGTTCTAGAAGTAGTTGTGGACGTGTGTGCGTGTGGGTGTGGGGCTACATGTTGCTCTCCCCCCCACCCCCACGGACTTGGGCTCACCCCCATCGGCTGTCCCCACCAGCCAGGAAGAGGCGACCCCCCCTCCCCTCCTCATCAGCCACCCCCACCCAATACCGCACACATCTTCATCACAATGTCCGTTATTTGTCGCAGAAATTGTATGATAATCCTTTCATGAGGCCTTAGTAGTGAGTACTAAGTACTATGATGAGTACTATGGAGTCTGTGTTAATACTGAGCTTTGTGTTTCATCGAGTCTAGTCAGTGTTGTTTTAGGTGTAATGGATAACTCTCGTCTAAGATGATGATTGTGCTCTTGAGAATCTTTTGTTGTTGATAAATAATGCACATGTTGTTATGCAATCAGAATTCAGGCAGCGGGACCTTTGCTTCCTCCCCAAAGCCGACGGTGTACACTTTCCGTGCGCAAGAAGCCAGTGCTTGATCCAGACACGCATATCAAATAATATGAATAACAAAATAGGTGAGGTGATCATGGGCGGCAAAAGATTATAAAAAATCAAATGGAAGCCCACCACCCCACCCGCAAACTGGCTTGGAATCTTCCTTGTTCCCTCCCGGCTCCCAGGACCTTCCTCCCCCGCCTTCGTTGCCTCAGATATCTTGTAAACTGCGCCCGCGACCCGCAAGTCCCCCTACCACCACCATCCCCCTCCCCGGGTGTCGGAGGAACCTCCAGTCTCGCGTTTCGGGTTCTCTGAGAAGCCCGAATCTCGCGTGAAGGAGAATTCGTGAGTCCTTTCCTCCCTCTTCCTTCGAGTCATGAAACTTCGAAGCATGACCCTTATGACCATGCAGGCACAACGCATGAACTTTTTTTTAGTTGTTGGTCACGAACCAGGTTACTCATTCTCGTCCTCAAGGAACAGTTTCTTGTGATTTTCTGTAGCCAACCATTACTCCAACCTCTCGATACATTAATCACACCGTTCAGAGGAGGCTGAGTACCCTGGGTGTCCTCCGAAGGTAGTCACGACCTGTAACGTGATGAGGCAGGTCGACGTGACCCCTGACCTTACCGATGCAGTCAATCTCTGAATCTGTGAAACCTCCGAACCCGGGACGGGATTGCTATGCATTGTAGGCATCGAGTATTCGATTGAATTTTTACATAGTTTTACTCTTTAGTTAATAAATATCACAACTGATATTTGGTGTTTGAGTTTCTCGCCTTTTCCTACTCGTCAGCGAAATTGCACTATACAAAGACTGCAAATGTGCGTGGTAAGTATCATAGTTCCACATACATAGCTTTACCCAAGTGCTACACAATACGCATTTCTTCAAGGCGGAAATACAGTCAAGAGGCTGTCATCAACCTGTCATCAATCATTGCCAACCCAACAAGTGCAGATACATCATCACTTCGATAAAAGATACCTGAATATAGTGGTTTGTTTTAAAAGTTTCATTACAAGGAATTAGTTATTCAAAGAACAGCAGACCTGAGAATTGATCAGGCTTTGTATAATTCATTAAATACTTCTATTAGCAAATATGTATTCCTTGTTTGTGTAAACATTCAGTTCTATAGTCAACACCAGAAAATGTACGATTTGGAAAATTTAAAATGAGCGATTACGTTTGATTGAAGCACCCATCAACCTTTTGTACATTAGTCTTTTAACTGACACCTACAGATATTTGAATGATAAAACTACTTTTCACAATTGGCTGGTGGAGAATTCATTCCGTCTGGTTGTAATGCGGTTGTGATAGGATGGAACTTTATAATAGTATCAGTCCTTTATATTTAGATCAGAATCCAAGGAAACAGATACAATATACATGTACGCAGAAATGTATATACGTATATCAATCTATTTGTCTCTTATCCGTGTCTAAATATGTATATATACATATATATATTTATATAATATGTATATGGATATCTATACACACACACGCACACATACATGTCTATATACGTATCATCATCACCAAAGGGGCTGCCACCAACGGGGGCGCATAGCCGCATCCTCGGCCCACCTCCAGTTCTTCACGACAGATCGAGATGCCCAAGCCACGACTTCCTAGGTCTCTCCATAGGCCTCCACGCAGGATTGTCTCGTAAAGAGACATGATGGGCAGGGTCATCCAAAGGGAAACTAGCTAGGTGCCCGCATAACCTGAGTTGGCAGTTATGGATTATGCAAGTAACAGGTCCCATACCAGTCTCACGGTGAAGTCATCGGTTGGACACATGGTTCTGCCATAGTCCCCGTGATCCGGCGTAGGGACTTATTACAAAAGACGTCGGGACATGACTCCAGGGTACTAGACAGCGTCCAGGTTTCGCTTCCATAGAACATATATATATATATATATATATATATATATATATATATATATATATATATATATTTGTATGTGTTTGTGCGTGTGTGTGTGTGTGTTTGTGTGTGAGTGTGTGTGTGAATACATATACACACAAACACACACATGCATACACAGTCATATACATGCATACATACATCTCTCTCTCTATATATATACATATAATATTATGACGCCATGTAAATATCCATACGCATGAAATAACTATTAGATAAATATGTTTTATTGTCATATTCTTTAAAGAAATAAAAACAGTGCAAAACCTGATTTTTAAAAAAAGAATGTAATGGAATTTCTAATAAAAACAGTTATTAGATAATGGAATAACTAAATGATTCCAGATAAAGCTATATGTCTATATATAATGAATTAATTCTTTGATTAATATATTTCAAGTCTCTTATTGAAAAAAAGCAAAACTATATAAATCTATATTACCCCCTCTATAAATGTTTTCCTTTCTTAGTTACATATCTGAATAATAGATGGCGCTGTAAGAAATTTTAGGCCTCATTTTTTTAACGGTGTGATGCTTGCGTTCCTACCTTTCTTATATATATGGTCTTTGGTTTTAACCTTCACCCAAAGAAAAAAAAAAAAAAAAAAAAAAACGACAGAAACAAGAGCCATGGGAATTTAACAAACTGAAAATAGACAGCGAGACAAGACCAAAGACTATATCTGAAAGATAGGAAAACAAGCATCACATCATAAAAAATAGGTCTAAATCCTTTTACAGCGCCATCTATTATTCAGATATGTAACTAAGAAAGGAGAACTTTCATAGAGGAGGGACTATGAATTTATATAGATTTTTTAATTGTTATTTTAAGTTTTAAAAGTTTTGTTTCAGTTGTAGTTTTGCATGTTTTTTCAATAAGACACTTGAAATATATTGATAAAAGAATGAATTCATGTATATATATATATATATATAATATATATATATATATATATATATATATATATATATATACATACACACACACACACACATACACACACACACACACACACACACACACACACACACACACACACACACACACACACACACACACACACACACACACACACACACACACATATATATTATATATATATATATATATATATATATATATATATATATATATAATATATATATATATATATATATATATATATATATATATATATATATATATATATATATATATATATATATACAACTTTACATGGAAGTATATCTTTGGTGTTAATGCAATGAATACAAACTTGAATTCAAGCATACTCTACAATCATTCGGCATTAACAAATTCTTCATGTTTTTCATTCATTTTTGTTGTCATTAAATCAAAGATATATAAAACACATTTACTTAAAACTTTTCTTTATTTGATTTCAAGTCATCATCAATGAAAGTATTAATGACAGCAGGCCTCCAATCAAAACAGAAAAGAAACATGCAAAAGCAAAAAAAAGAAAAAAAAAAAAAGAAAATCCCTCTCCTATCTTACGATAGTAAACAAACAGACGACACATCGCGTACACAGCGTCATCTATTGTTCAGATATCACACTATCTGTCTACCGTTGGGACTCGCAGACTTTTGCCATGCTTTGCTATAAATGTTCTCCTTTCTTAGTTACATATCTGAACAATAGATGGCCCTGTAACAAGTATGGGCCTCACATATTTTCTTAACGGTGGGATGCTTGCTTTCCTATCTTTCATAAAAAACGACAGAAATAAAAGCCATGGGAATTTAACAAACTGAAAATAGACAGACACAAAACCAAAGACTATATGAAAGGTAGGGAAACAAGCATCACACCGTAAAAGAAGAAGAAGAAAAAAAAAAAAAAGTGTCCAAACCTACTACAGTGCCATCCATTGTTCAGATATGTAGCTAAAAGCGTTTTAAGCAGGGAAAGTTCTAGCCTGAAATCTCAAGCGTTTTTCTTGCTAACTCAAGCATTTCGCTTGCTTTCTCAAGCGACCTCCGTAGATGGCTTGACTTGCGCTTGCTAAGTCAAGCGGTGTACCGTCACCATGGCAACGGCGTCGGTCGCGTACCGTACTGGTCACAATCCTTCGAATGCGGGCGTTGGCCAGGAACTCCGCTTAATATCTTATCAGATAAATAATTTTTTCACGGTATCTGATTCTGTAATTTTCTTAAAATCATATTCAAAGAAATTGAAATTAACTGAAAACGAAAGGAGATAATGGAGATTATGGGAATAAAAAGTTTTACTTATGAATAATAAATGATTATAACATGAACCATTTTCCTCTTATTGTTAAACTTCTCGTCTTTCTTAATCGAGAATATATCTGCTATTTTATGAAATAAAGAATATTTCAAGTGAAAAAGTCTGAGAAATTCTAGCAACGTTCTTCTGTTGATATTATATTCGATGATTTGTTATATTTAACCTCATAAAATCGGATATATGGGAATGGGTAGGCCTATATTTTAATTCAGGGATATTCATTTGTTTTGATAACGCGTCAGAATGAAAGGGCTGTCAATCGGAAAAGTGTGTCATTGTTTTAGAGGCACTTTATATGAATATAGGAGAAAATATATCGCTTTGTTAAGATGTTTGGGTATATTTATTTACTTCTCTGCAATCTTGATGCGGCGCTAGCTTGCCAGTTGTTTTGAACTGCGCGCTCAAACTGTTACCAACCGCAAGTGAAATAAACTCCACCCTCTTATGCTTAAGTTATCTCTTTCCGAGATTGTTGGTGGGAATATTGCTTTTAAAACCCAAGTATATATATTACGTGTGTTATTTTGATATTTCTATGCTCATCAAT